CAAAAATGTCTCCGTACATCGTCAGATGTCTCCTGGGGAGCAACATGACCTAGTTGAGAACCCTGGTCTCAACTTACTAAAAGTGTGAATTTCATTGTATATAAATTATATCTCAATAAACTTGATTTTTAAGAAAAGGAAAACTCACTCGTCACTTCTCAAGGATTCTGGGAAACTATCTCATCTTGAAAACTAGTAATTGACAGAATCAAGCATTTATCTTGTCTCTTCTGCATTAAACTGTATCTCAAGAGTAACCTAGTAGTCAATATAGGGATGAATTTGGGGGCCATCCTTATGTATTTATTAGTATTATGTTTAATCACTCCCAGTTATCACTTTTTCTGCCATTAAAAGTACAGTTCTTTGGGGGGCTGGTCTAGTGGCATAGCAGTTAAGTTCACACGCTCCGCTTCAGCAGCCCTGGGTTTGTGAGTTCAGATCCCTGGCACGGACCTACACACTGCTTATCAAGCCATGCTGTGTCAGGCATCCCACGTATAAAAAAATAGAGGAAGATGGGTACAGATGTTAGCTCAAGGCCAATCTCCCTCAGCAAAAAGAGGAGGATTGGGTGGCAGATGTTAGCTCAGGGCTTATCTTCCTCAAAAAAACCCAAACAACTTTTCTTTTTCTCTAATTTGCTGCCTCTAATTCACTTTAGACTGGGAAACCAGATTAATAAAATTACTGTTATTTAAAAAGATAAAGCACCATGTATTATGAATCGTCTATTTCTGTTACTAGAGATGTGTTTTGTTTTTTTGTTTGCTTTTTTGAGGAAGATTAACCCTGAGCTAACATCTGCTGCCAATCCTCCTCTTTTTGCTGAGGAAGACTGGCCCTGAGCTAACATCCATGCCCATCTTCCTCTACTTTATATGTGGGACGCCTGCCACAGCATGGCTTGCCAAGTGGTGCTGTGTCCGCACCTGGGATCTGAACTAGCGAACCCCGGGCCGCCAAAGCGGAACATGCGCACTTAACCGCTGCGCCACCGGGCCAGCCCTAACTAGAGACGTTTTTATTTTTTGATTTGGGGCCATATTCTGGATACCTGCTGTTCTTCACACAGAAGTGATGTGTTACGACTATTCTGTTTCAACGTGGCTAAACACACAAATACTTCGTGGTCTGAGATACACTTCTTTGGATTAAATCTATTGTGTAGAATGAAACACGTTCAGAAAACCTAGTGTGTGCTTCGTGTAGGTATGGTTCTAAAATCTAGTCTTACTGTATTAATACTGAATTAAAGAACACAATGTTCCTAAAATCATTCCAGAGAGCAGATGAATAGGGATGTGTATGGGAACCACCCTTTTGAAAATTATTGAGGAGTTTCTTATTTCATCTTATTTTAGTATTGCCCAGGTTTTTTCTCAGAGAATAGGGTGTTTGACCTATCATAGTAGTCTTCTTGAAAGTTCACGACTTCAATTCACTTCTTCGCTTTGAGGAAACTGAAGACGCATGTAACTGCTGTCGCCATTTCAGAAACTGATGCTAAAGGCAACCACCGAGCTGGGCAAGACTGTCATTACACTGTGACTTTGGTTTATACTTATTTTCATCGTGGAAGGGAAAATCTTTAATTTATTTGATTGCCTAACCAGTGCCACATTTTAAGATAAAACTGTTCTTTTTCTAAAACTGTTATTAAAAGAGACTGGAAACAGATTCTGGTCTGATGTTGATGCTCTGTTGGCGTTTCATCCCTCCTTTTTGTTAAATGAAATTCAACATTGTTCATTTTGTCTAGCCCCATTCCCAGTTTTCATAATTTAAAAAAATCCTTTGAAATCATAGTGAGGGTTCCGGAGGATATTAGTTTTGGTTGTTTATTGTGTAAGAATTTGAAAGAGGGCTAGGGGTATGATTTAGAGAGTCCTACTATCTTTGTATTTCTTTGTTTCCCTCTTTACTGGGTTATGTCCTATCCTGAATTTATTTTTATATCTCAATAAAGTGGAGAAAGGTTTGCCTTTTACCAGTTGATTGGGACAGGGGAGATTAATTGGAGATTAATGAGTTGCTTCTCGAATTTTAGTGGAGTTACATTAGGTTGGAAAATAGATCAAAGAAGATGATTTGCTTATAAGTACCACATTTTTGTCTTATTTTGTTTCTGAAAACCTATTGTGTAGATAGCTGGATCTACAGTTTCATAAATTTCTCTTCTGAAGGTAATTTCGGGTGGGTAACCACTGGTGATGCTAACTAGCATCCTGCCTTGCCTGCTGAGCTTTTGGGGATTATTTCAAAGTATGTGTTCTCCATCCCCACTAGGGGGAGTTTCCACTCAGTAAAACAGTATAGTTTTTAAGGTGGATTGATTAAGTAAAATGTTGGTGTCTATCTTATTCCATGATTTCTCACTATGGTTTTCCCTCAAGATATTTTCCTAATAATATGAGCTACAATGTGTTGAATGTTTGCTAAGCACCTTGCATGTATTGTTTGATTTGTTTCTCATAGTAAATTTATGAGATTGATAATATTTCATACCATTTTTACTGATGAAGAAACTAATAGAGAAATTACATGCTCACAGTCAGAAAGCTAATCAAATGGTGATACAGAGAGTCGTATCTAGGTCTGTCTGACTCCGAAACTTGTTGTGAACCCTGTATTCCAGTACCTGCCAGGTTTATGTCTGCCACTATCATGAAACTCTCAAAACATTCAAAGTAAATTTATTTTATGCCGTAGGCAGATGCTTAGAAGTGGTAGAGTAAGAAGGAAAGCACAGAGAGAGCTTACTATTAGGCATAGTAACTCAAAATTATGTTGATGAGCTGAAAAGAGTGGAGATTAGGTACAGAAGTAAAAATCAAGAGCCTAGGGGCTGGCCCGGTGGCGCAGTGGTTATGTGCACACATTCCACTTTGGCAGCCGGGGGTTCGTCAGTTCGGATCCTGAGTGCAGACATGACACCACTTGGCATGCCAGGCTGTGGTAGGCGTCCCACATATAAAGTAGAGGAAGATGGGCACGGATGTTGGCTCAGGGCCAGCCTTCCTCAGAAAAAAGAGGAAGATTGGTAGCAGTTAGCTCAGGGCTAATCTTCCTCCAAAAAAAAAAAAAAAGAGCCTAGATTTCTAGGAGTTAGGTCTGACCTACCCCATTTACTTAGTTTCTGTCTTTATGGAATAGATAAGCAGACCAATTCAACACTGTGCATTTATAGGAATCTTAAATATGGGTAGAGTAATTAACTTACTTACAGGGTGCTTTCATAGGTGAATACTTACTGATAGTAGGCTTTGAAAACTTGAGAAGAATGTTATCTATTCCTTTGAAACATTACTTTTGTGAAATAAGCCAGCTAGAGCAAGACAATCTCTGTATGACTCCACTCACATGTGGAAGTTAAACATGTAGACAAAGAGAACAGATTAGTGGTTACCAGGAGAAAGGGGGGTTGGGAGGTGGGCACAAAGGGTGAAGTGGTGCACCTACAACACAACTGACAAACAATAATGTACAATGGAAATTTCACAAGGTTGTAAACTATCATAATCTCAATAAAAAGTTAAAAAAAATTACTTTTGTCCATAGACCTAGAGCAGTGTTTGAAAATATCAAGTGTGACCCATTAGTGGTTCATAAAATCAATATACTGGGTGATGACCAGCATTAAGGAAAAAAAAAAATTTAAATAGTCTAGAAAATTTCAGAATACACTGCTTATCCTAAGGGTGAGCATTGTTTGTGAAACGTTTGTTTCAGGTATGTGTGTATGTGTTAGGTCACAATGTCAAATATATTTTTTACTGTGGGTTGCAAGTTTAAAAAGTTTGAAAAACACTGACTAGACCTTTGTGGCATTATGTATCTGTTCTAATTTAACCAGGACAGAAATTATAGTGATTTCATACAAATTTTCTCTTTAAAAGCAAATGACATCAAGTGACGATAGAAGGTATGCTTGATGCTTTCTTCCTTTTTCTAGCATTCTGGAAAGCATCCAGTCCCAAATCAAAACCTTCCTGAAGTGTAAAGCTAGCTCTAAAGAATTAATTTTTATCTCAGGAGAGCCTCATGTGTCAAAATTTATAATAATATACGTGTACTGTTCCCTGCTGAATATTCACAACCTTTTGCTCATTTCAGGAAGTTTCCCCTCTCAGGTTTTGTATGATTTTTAGTTTGGAATCCCTTTAAGTCTTATTTTCAGTCATTTCCGTTTGGTTGGTTCCATAGCACTTTAGCTTTGGGCATGAATAAAAGATTTGTTGGACGTCTTTCTGTAACAGTACATAACTTTATCTCATTATTTTTAATGGATGTATAGTAGTCCATTGCATAAGTTTATCATAATTTACTTAACTAGTTCTTCAATAGTGTATTTTTTTTTTTTTTTTTGAGGAAGATTAGCCCTGAGCTAACTACTGTCAGTCCTCCTCTTTTTTTTGCTGAGGAAGCCTGGCCCTGAGCAAACATCCGTGCCCATCTTCCTCCACTTTATATGTGGAATGCCTACCACAGCATGGTGTACCAAGCAGTGCCATGTCTGCACCCGGGATCCGAACTAGCAAACCCCAGGCCGCCGAGAAGCGGAACGTGCGTGCTTAACCGCTGTGCCACTGGGCTGGCCCCTTAATTTTTTAATAATATTGCTAAATTAGCCTTCACAAGGATTGTACTAATTTAATTTATCACCATCTATATGTAAAAATGCCAGTTTCCCCATACCATTGCCAATGCTATGCATTATTAGAGTTTTAACTTTTTGTAATCTGATAGGTGAAAAATTACAAAAGTCCATTATAAATAGAGTTGTGTATTTAAAATTTAGTGAGATTGACCCTGTTTTGGTGTACTTATTGGCTCTTTGTATTTTCAATGAAGGTTCTTGAGATTTCAAGTGTGGGCAATACCAGTGAATGTGGCTTCAAAGCTTTGAAGAAATGGTGCTGTAAATGTAAGATAAGATGCCTGTGGCTATGATGACCTCTGCTGTTTCCCATGTTGACCCTTTCCTGTGTTAATTTCAGGTGATCATGGAGCTCAGCTTGGCCTCCATGGGGCCGGTGGTGATGGGATGCATGATGACACAGCAGGCGGAGAGGAAGGAGAGAACAGCCCAGATCCCCAACCCCAAGCTGGTCGGAGGACCCGGCGGGAAGCATGTACCTGCCCCTACTGTAAAGATAGTGAAGGAAGGTAAGTTGATCTGGCCAGTCTCTTAAGAGTAACTTAAGAGTCTCTTAAGTCTCTTTTCTTAAAGAAGAAAAGTGAATAGATTTGGAGGTGAGAAGAGGAGGGTTAATTTTTTAATCTTAAAGATTTGGTGGGGCTGGCCCTGTGGCCAATTGGTTAAGTTCATGTGCTCTGCTTCAGCCGCCCAGGGTTTTGCCGGTTTGAATCCTGGGCACGGACATGGCACCACTCATCAAGCCATGCTGAGGTGGCATCCCACATGCCACAACTGAAAGGACCCACAACTAAGAATATACAACTCTGTACCCTGGGGGGCTTTGGGGAGAAAAAGAAAAAATAAAATTAAAAAAAAAATAAAGATTTGGCAGTGTTGTGAAGGGATCAGAGATAGTACAATACATTTGATTAGATTGTATTATAGGATCTCGGTTCCAGCTCTCATCCTTTCCTTGACTCTTTTACCTTGAGCCTTAATAGTGCCTTCTTTCTCCTAGAGATAAGGAAATCAGATGGAGCCAACTGGTCTAATGATTGTTACCATATGTCTGTTTTGAGATGGTTTTAACAAGGTTGCTTGTAAAACAGCCTTGCAGAGAAAAAGAAACGTACCTACTGTAATAATTTTTTACAGTGGCTGTGTGAGAATCGTGAGTTTTCCAGAGTCTTATTTTCCCTCAAAATAGACAAAATGCTTACTCCAAATAGAAAATTCTTCCATCAGGGAATCTAACATGTCCTGTAAAACAAAGTTCTGATGAATTTTCTCAGTAGTAGTACCTGCTATTCAGTATTATCTCTGGAGAGTTGCAAGTTCTGTTTTTTCCTTTAAGTCGTTGCTTTTGAAAGAGAATAGGAAGTCGCATAGTTTTTTAAATGCCTTTGAAAAAAGTCTGTTAAAGTTTTGTTCCAATAAAAATAAGCACAAAAATAAGAAAAGTACTAGAGCTGGCCCCATGGTGTGGTGATTAAGTTTGGCGTGCTCTACTTCAGTGGCCTGTGTTCTTGGGTTTGGATCCCAGGCGTGGACCTATACCATTTGTCAGCCATGCTGTGGCAGCAACCCACATAGAAAGTGGAGGAAGGGTGGCACAGATGTTAGCTCAGGGCAGATCTTCCTCAAGCCAAAAAGAAAATAAAAGTACCAAAATAAAAAATAATTTGAGTTCTTTGTGGGTTACTCTACATTGCAGGAAAAACCTGAATCAAAAGCACTGAGTACAGTAGAATCTCTAAGAAAGCTTAAAGTGGATTTAGATTTTTGAAGACAATTCTCTGCTGATTTCCACCAAAGTGTGATTTCATTTCTTTCTTGTTTTTTTTTAAACATTTTATTTTCCCTTTTTCTCCCCAAAGCCCCTCATACATAGTTGGGTATTTTTAGTTGTGGGTCCTTCTACTTGTGGCATGTGGGATGCCACTTTAGCGTGGCCTGATGAGTGGTGCCATTTCCACACCCAGGATCCGAACCAGCAAAGCCCTGGGCCGCTGAAGTGGAGCCCGTGCGCTTAACCACTCAGCCACGGGGCCGGCCCCTGATTTCATTTCTGTTTGGGTTTTTTCCCCTCTGCTAATATGTGCTGTTAAAATCCAAGAAAAGTTCCTCTTGGAAGTCTCCCCAGTGCCCACAAATAGATCGCACATGGAACAAATTGGTTTGGCAGAAACTTTTCAGAACTAATTCCTGAGAGGAGCTTAGGATCTGCTCCATATAGGGAATATATATCTTTTTTACATACCTTGAATTAGTTAGAGTCCTTATTCCCTTCTTTTTTTTTTTTTTTTTTTTTTGAGGAAGATTAGCCCTGAGCTAACTGCCGCTGATCCTTCTCTTTTTGCTGAGGAAGGCTGTCCCTGAGCTAACATCTGTGCCCATCTTCCTCTGCTTTTTTATATGTGGGATGCCTACCACAGCATGGCTTGCCAAGTGGTGCCATGTCTGCACCCTGGATCTGAAATGGCAAACCCCGGGCTGCCAAAGCAGAATGTGTGCACTTAACTGCTGTGCTACCAGGCCGGCCCCCTTATTCCCTTCTTTTAACTTTTATCCCATCCATCATCCTCTTCCACTGAAGTCCCTAGTATTGCTCCAGGTTTTCATCATTTAATCTTCACCGTTTGGCTCTTGACCTTTATTCTAGGAGAAAAGTTCTTTGGTTTTCTGTACTTTCTCTACTGCTTTTTTTTCTTCTTTTTCTTTTCTTCTCCCCAAACCCCCCTTAGCACATAGTTGTATATTTTGGTTGTGAGGGCCTCTGGTTGTGCTGTGTGGGACGCCGCCTCAGCATGGCCTGATGAGTGGTGGCATGTCCGCGCCCAGGATCCAAACCAGTAAAACCCTGGGCCGCCAAAGTGGAGTGTGTGAACTTAACCACTCAGCCACGGGGCTGGCCCCTTTCTGTACTTCTAAAAGTAAAATATATTTTCTTTAAAGTTCTCTACCACGTGCTTAAATGGAGAGACCCTTTGCTCATTAAGTTTCTAGTCAAAAATATTACCATATTCACAGTAGTTCTTGTGGAAAATGCTTATATTGAGACTTTATTTTTTTTTTGTTCAGATTGGCACCTGAGCTAACAACTGTTACCAATCTTTTTTTTTTCTTCTGCTTTTTCTCCCCAAATCCCCCCAGTATATAGTTGTATATATTTTTTTAGTTATGGGTCCTTCTAGTTGTGGCATGTGGGACACCGCCTCAGCATGGCCTCATGAGCAGTGCCATGTCCGCACTCAGGATCCGAACTGGCAAAACTGTGGGCTGCTGAAGCGGAGCACACGAACTTAACCGCTCAGCCACGGGGCGGGCCCTGTATTGAGACTTTAAACTCCATGAAAAATACAAGAAAATGCCTCACAGACTTCACAAGTCACTGTGAGAGTGATTATCTCTTCAAACATCAAACATCAACATCGATTAAGGACCAGGAAGGCAGAAAAGAGCAAATATCCAATAGAGAGGAAACCTACAACTTGAATTTTAGGTATTAAGAACTAGAATCAACTAAAGGTCTATCTTTTGATACTAACGAGAAGCCCTTTTTTCCAAATAAAAGTTTGGTTTAGCTTTGAGTAGATCAGGTAATTACTGTTGACACTTTGTGGTTCTTTAATTTTTCTCTCTGGAATGAATGATGCATAGTTGAATTCTCACTTTCAGGGGCTCTGGGGATCCTGGCAAAAAGAAACAGCACATTTGCCACATCCAAGGCTGTGGCAAAGTATATGGCAAGACCTCACACCTCCGGGCACACTTGCGCTGGCATACGGGCGAGAGGCCATTCATGTGCACCTGGTCATACTGTGGGAAACGCTTCACACGTTCTGATGAGCTGCAGAGGCACAAACGCACACACACAGGTGAGCTGAAGCCTGAGGAAGGAAGAAATAGTAATAGACCATAGACCAGAATGGATAGACTACAAAATGTACCTATGAAATAAAAATTTCTGAGCAACTTAAGTTTGAAACTGAATGTGTGGTTCACAAATGGAATTGGAATTAATCTGGAAACTGTTAAGAAGGAAGGAGGTAGGTTTTGAGTGGGATTTTCAAGGAGGACTGTGACCCCATTAGTCTTCTTAGTCTCGTCCTGCCTTAACTTTCCTGCTGCATTCCCTCCTGTCTGAGGACTCCCAAACCTTTACCTATATTTATTCCCCCAAAAAGCAAAAGATACCAGCTTTGTCTTGGTTCTATCACCTTCTAAGATGGTCTTGTTCTACCTAATATAGTTTGAAAGCAGTGAATTGGACAAAGTACCCCTACTTCCTGAGATGTCAGTTTCTTATGTCCTTTCTCTTCCTTTACCTAGGTGAGAAGAAATTTGCCTGCCCTGAGTGTCCCAAGCGCTTCATGAGGAGTGACCACCTGTCAAAGCATATCAAGACCCACCAGAATAAGAAGGGAGGCCCAGGTGTAGCCCTGAGTGTGGGCTCTTTGCCCCTGGACAGTGGGGCAGGTTCAGAAGGCAGCGGCACTGCCACCCCTTCGGCCCTTATTACCACCAATATGGTAGCCATGGAGGCCATCTGTCCAGAGGGTATTGCCCGACTTGCCAACAGTGGCATCAACGTCATGCAGGTGGCGGATCTGCAGTCCATTAATATCAGTGGCAATGGCTTCTGAGATCAGGCTCCCAGGGCCAGAGACATATGGGCCATACCCATCAACCCTGGGTGCAAGGTAGCATGGGTCCAAGAGACATGTGGGAGAGAGAGCCATGAGGCATTAAAATGCATGGTGGTGGGAAGAATTAGGGGAGGGATACAAGAGAAGAAATGGGGTCCTGGCACCCACCTATATCATCAGTACCTCCTTGAAGTGGGAAACATTAGTGAAAATTCTGTTGGTGCCACCTTTGATGAGAATTTGTTTGACCCCAAATAGTTTCTTCTTACACTTCTTACCCCAGCATCCCCTTCCTGCGTTTCCCTTCTCAGCTCCCCCATGATGGATCCCCCCCTTTTCCTAAAGCCATCATGCCTTGATAAATATATATGATCATTGAAATACTTTTTAACAAAAAACAGATTCTATATTATATATATATATATATATATATAAAAGATATATAGAGATGCATTTGCAGGGGTTGGCTGGGAGGAGGAAGGAGACCATTCTGTGACCAAAATACCTTGGTCATTTTTTTTACATTGCCTTATTTCTTTATGGCTGAGCCTTGTTGTGACACATCAAGCTTTTCTATAGATGTTGTCTTGGCTTCCCACCAGATTAAGATTCATTTGCTCTGCTTTTAGTTTATATATACATACATAATGTTTTCCTTTCTTAATTTTATCTTTTTATTTGGGATCAGCTTCTCGCACTCCTTTTCTGACTCACCCCTCTCTGTCTCCCTTTCTCTCACCTGATCACTTCATGTTTTGTTTAAGTAGTGATCCCTGGGTGAGGAACATCTGTCAGCCTTTTAAAGTCCTTATTCCCAGCAGCAGAATGGAGAAGCCTTGAAGCCCAGGCTGATGCTTGAGATAGCTATGGAGGGAGTGTTCAAAATACTACTGACGCAGGCACCCTCTTGGCGCTGGAGAGTCACAGACACCTCTCTTCATTAGCTATTCTAAGCATTAAGAATCAGAAGTCTTTCTACAGAATTGTACAACAGACCTTTTGAAGGTTATAATCTGGGATCAGTTTGTATAAACTGTCAAAAGATGGTAAAATAATAGGTAGGGGCTTTCAGTAGGAAAATGATGTGCTCAGAAGCAGAAATGACTCATAGTAGTCCAGTTCAGGCGTTAGTGGAGTATTTGGACTTTTATACAGCTGTCTTCCAAGGTAACTCTAAGCTTTGATGTGTAGACTTCTGAATTTACATTCTGAAAGGAAATAACGCTTTCTCTTTTGAACCGTGCCCAGTAGTTTCTTTCCCATTATGTTATTAGGGAGCATCAGCCAATGAATCTGTTCCAGGTTTCCATTCTGCAGACTCCAGAGCATGTACTAGTGGCAAGGCAGTGGTTCTTCGATCCTTTCCCTTAACTCTTCCTTGGGTGGTTCCTAAGGGAAAAGGAAGCACACGATCATGGGAATGATAGCCCAGAACAAAAAGAAATCTTGTCTTACCACTGTGGTTTATAGGAGAGATCAGGAGAAGCCATCCTGCTTTCTCCATGGCCTGATTCCTGAAGAGACTGATCCAAAAATTATAGCGGCAGGGAACTCTTAGTGCGTTTGGCACTGAGATTTAAATGCAACCAGACTTGTCCTCAAGGCCCAGCCATTAAAACATTGTCTCTCTTGACCTTTTGGTAACTTGTCAGAGAGCTTTTCACTGTGAGGAAGTGTGGAAATGGCTGTGTGTATGTGTGTAATCTGTTAGGTTGGGGATAGGTTTTCTGTTAGCCAATACTAAAAGAGACCTGCAATAAAAAATTACCCTGATCTGATAGAAAGCGAAGTGTTTGTGTATGACTGTGTGAATGTGTGTTTGTGCCTGTATATATCTACACACAGATGAGAAATTATATATGAAATTGTTGGAAAATAAATCAAATTCAGATCAAAATGCCTTTCAGGCCCATTACCTAGAAATCTATCTTAAAACCTGGGTATGTTCCTGAGGTCATTTCTTTGCTAATGATAAATTAGTTACAATTATGAATGGGGCATATTCTACTGCACTTTTAAAAAAAGAAACTATTTTTGTGTTTGAAAGTGAAACCAACATCCAGATCTATAGCAGAGTCCTAGTTCCTTTCGTAAATCTTTTTACCTTGACTACAAGTAGATGATGCTATGATTCTACTATATATTTTATATAAAATCTATCTAAATTAGGGTTTCGGTAAGTTTGTGTTGTTGTTTAACCTGAAATACAATGTGTTAATATTCTAAACAATAGTTCACTCCATTGAGTCCTTTCTCTGCAGACTTAATACTATTTTTAACACTCAGGAACTATTGTAAGGAACTCCCCCAGATCAAATTCTATTAATACTGAAGTAGAAGTCATCCATGCCCAGCCACTTACCACACCTTTTATTCCCACTGAAAGGCAGAACTCAGAACCTGTTATTTTATGTCTGTAATCATGTACATAGGCATCTTTTGGAGGAAAGGGGTAGGATAACTCAGTGGAGTGTGCAGTATTTTGCTAGAGCATTTCAAGGAATGGAATCTTCCCCAGTTTGAAATTATTAGATATAAACTAGCGTAATGATGCTGACGACTACAAGCTTTTAGAAGGTTATTTGATGGTATTTCTCTCTGGGATGGAATGCGGTTTACTCTCACTCCCCTTCATTAGCATTACTATGAGTGAATTTGTTGCCAGTTCTTTCGCTTGTCCTATTTCCTTCTCTCCAAGGAAGCTCTAGATCCAATATCTTGTTTGGCCCCTAAACTGAAGCAGCTTCTGCTTTTGTCTCTCAGCAGCAGTGAGCCACTCAGTCTTTTCCACAGGAAGTTAGGAGCCTACATTCCTTGAGTCAGGAGCTTTTTGCTGAAAATCCCTTTCGCTGAACTTGTGGCCAGCGGAAGTTAATGTAACTGACAGGCATATTGATTCTAAATTTTTTTTCATGAGTTGCTTTTTTATTTAATTTTTTTTAATGACCAAACCTTGTGGGGCGGGGGATGCCCAGAGGAGTGGTAATATTAAAGCACTCATTCCCTTCTCATTTCAGGTTGCCCATCCACATTCATCTGCTTATCATTGACAGTCTCACTTTCTACCCAGAGCAGTAACAACCCATGCCATCTTCCGTCAGGGACCTCCCAGCTGGTACCCTGTTTGTGGGTGCTATGCAGAACCCAATTTAATGGATATTTCTCAGCCTGGTTCAGAATAAATAGAACCTTTGATCCCAGAAAGTATAGAGAGTGGGGTAAAGATTATGATTGGGGGAGGGTTAGAGACAAAAGCTGTAAATTACTATGGCTGATTGATTTATTTCTACTATATACATATATATATATTTTTTGCTTTTGTATATCCTATATAGGAAACTAAGCATTGTATTTTTTTAACAAATCTGAGAAAGCACTATGAACTGCAGATGTTTGACTTTCAGAATATATTTTGTATTGTTAATATCTTCACATTGTGTGAATACTGGAAGCTGCAGATCTTTGCTAGGACGCAATAAATTTATATACTTTTTGAGGGATTCTTCTGGGGGTATTAATCAGGCCCCTGTTATGCTTTGGGGGGAGCCCTGGTGCTACTTGCTTAAAGTTTTCATTCAATTGTAAGTACCCTGATGCCTTTTGGACCTTGGGATCGGATCACACAAGTTTTGGAGATCCAGGTACCAAGGAAATGAGGATAGTCTAGCTGCCTCAAATGAGGGGCCCTTTGCTTAGCTCTCCTTCCCCTCTTCAAAGCTGGGTAGCCTCTTGGGGTTGGGAGGAGAAATGTGAAATCTCAGAGTTTCATCTCCCTTAGAAGAGAGCCAGTAACTTATGTTCAAGGATGAAAGGTGGCAGCAGTAGCTTTGGGGAAGGGAGGAGGATATGGCACTTCTCCAACCCCGGAAAACATTGCTTTTGAAAACTGCTGATAAAATATGGGCAGGTTATTACTTTTGTTTGGGAGCTTGTGCTCTCTCTGGTGCCTCTCTTGGCTCTCCTCCTGGGGTACAGACCTCTTCTAGGAGGAAGAGCAGACCAGCTTTGAGGTTGACCTGTTTCTTTTCTTTGTCTGCCTTCCCTAAACACCAGCCCCCAGGAGGACGTTAAGCAGCCTTTGGTTTAAATTCCTACTCCCTCTTCCAGATTTGGCTCACTTGCCTTAGACTGAAGGCTGGGAAGGAAAAAAAAGGGGAGTCCCTGGCTTCATTCCTCCCTTAGGTCTTCTGCAGTAGAAGTTCCCCAAACCCAAAAAGATTTCCTGCACAACGCTTGTTTGAGAAAAATGAGTGTTTTCTCCCATTTTCCCCTTTCCTTATTATCAAACAGCCCCAGCCTGCCTTCTCCCTGCCAAGCCTGAGGTGTGGTGAGCTGTCCGTCAACTCCCTTCAGCATCGGAAAAAACGAGCCTGACAGATAGTGTTAAGCTGGGGCTGCAGGGAGCGAGGCCTTTGTTGATACCTCTCCTGGGGTGTGTGTTCTCCTCTGTCTCACCTTCAGGAATTACACTGTGCCTTCTCCACGGGGGAATGGGCTTCATCTACTCAGCCCTCCGCTTTCCCAGCAGCTGCTCTTGAACAGTGTGGACAGGGGCAAGTCTTCATATTTCTGATCACCCCTTTCTCCCTGTGGCATCCCATAGCCCTCATCTGGAGTCTAGGGCACAAAGACTCTGGGGAAAGACGGGGAAAATATACTGAGGTTGACCCCAGGAGACCACTTCCACACACCAATGGCAGCTGCCCCAGGGCCTGCTTCCTCTTCCGGAGTCTGTTATCCTCTGGGTGGGAGGAGCGGTGCTCCAGTCTCTGGTGCCTAAAACAAGTTTCTCTCTTAACACTGGCGATAACCAGTCTCCATACCACTGTTGCCTTTTTAAACCTCTTAACGATCTCATGCTGTGTTTGTTGTTGGTTCCAATCCGATTATCACCAGGGCTGTGTGGGGAAAATACTTTTAAATGCTCTCTCATCTTTCTTGCTCTTTTTCCCCCTGATCTTGTGTATGTATGATGCTAATCTCTTGTCTTTTAGTTTCTTCCTGCTCTTTTGTATCTTCCCTTCTTGTCTCTCCCCTTACCTTTTGTCTCTGGGTGTTGGGGGGCTTCTTTTTTTTTTTTTTTTTTTTTTTTGCCTTTTTGTACAAAGATTAGTTTCAATGTAGTCTGTAGTAGCTCCTTTGTAAACCAATTAAAAAAAGTTTTTTTAATAAAAAGACATGTCTCTGGTGTGTTGAGAGGGTTGGGAATGGGAAGAATATGGTTATAACTTTATATACTGAACCCAACATGTTTCCAGCTGCAGTGTTGTGCTCCCATACATGTTAGCACAAATGCCCTACACTTAACTCTCAGGTAAACAGTTTCATGACCAGATCAGTATGCCAAGACTATATTAGAAATGTGGGGGACCAAGAGAAACGGGCAGCTCCAACCTTTTTTTTTTACATAAACTCTTTTGGAATATTTTTTAAAGGAAAGTTGCAAAAATAGTAGAGAATTTCCGTATACCCCTTACCCCATTCTTCCCATTGTTAACATATTATCATGGTACATGTCAAAATTAAGAAACTGACATTGGTGTGTTATGTTAGCTCAACCCCAGCCTTTATGGGTTTCACCAGGTTTTTTTTTTATTAAAGATTGGCACCTGAGCTAACAACTGTTGCCAATCGTTTTTTTCCCCTGCTTTTTTCTCCCCAAATCCCCCCAGTACATAGTTGTATATTTCAGTTGTGGGTCCTTCTAGTTGTGGTGTGTGGGATGCCGCCTCAACGTGGCCTACTGAGCCATGCCCATGCCCAGGATCTGAACCCTGGCCCGTCGAAACAGAGTGCGCGATCTTAACCACTCGGCCACGGGGCCGGCTTCATGTATATTTATTTTATACTTGAGTTATAATCTAATACTACATTATTTTTGTTGCTCACATTATCCCAGCTTTGGGCCGTTGAAAGGGCCATTGAAAGCCCTTTCAGGTTGGCTCCTGTGTCCCTTTGATATGTCTACATTCTTTTAGTTTTTTGAGCACGTTCTTATTTTCTAATATACAAGATGCTTCAGGCTCATTGTGTATATTCCCTGCCCCAGCCCTCGGATCAGCTGTTTCTCCAAGCAACTTTGGTTCTTTTTATTGGAGAATGGCATTTAAAAACCAAAATCTATCCCCAACATATTTTACATTCAGTTAATACCATCCTGTGTCTAACATGGTTGAGTCTGGATTGTGGCCCTAAAATTGAGGTTATTCTTGAGACTCTCCAGTTTCCCATCAGCTGATGGCTCCACTTCCCTTCCTACCTTTACAAGAATTCTTGGTCAATTGTTTATGCTATGGCTACCAGCATTCTCAATTATTTTGCTCATTTAACTCCCTGTGTCTCCTTTGTCACTCACTCAGCCATGAATTAAGAGCCATTTGATTTCCTTATGTAGCCATTAACAATATAACATTTTAACATTTGACTTTATTGGAGTTTTTTTGTTTTGGGCGGCATTTTTGTTTGTTGGTTTTTATGGGGTTTTTTTGGTTTTGCAGCATTAGCTAGGTCTTTAATAGTTGTGGCATCTATTCATTCGGTAAACATTTATTGAGTCCTTACTATGTGCTGAGTACTAAGCTAGGTTGAAGATAAAAAGTGAAGTAAGCTAGGCCCTCCCCCCAAGTACTTCGTGGTCTTGGAGAGTGAGACAGATGCCGTTCACTGCAAGTTTCCCAGTGCTGGCCCCATTTTTCAGCAGATGATTTGCTTTCTATTTGTTGGAGAAAATGGAAGCATGGATTTCCTCAGACTTCTCTCTCCTCTCCCTACAAACATCTATGTATTCACCAATACCAATTTACCCCCTTCTCTCTTCTTAGCAGAGAAATACTATTTTTGCTTTGCAAGGCCAACTCTGCCACTTGTGCTCTCAGCTCACTTTCATTTTTGTTTTTGTTTTGATGATATTTTCTCCTTTCAGCCTCTCCTGGGTTCCCTTTTGTCAGAGTATGAGCATGCTCAAATCCCTCCCCTCCCCGCATTTTGAAAAACCTCTACTTCTAAAGCTACTGACCTAGTTCTTTCCATTTCCAAAGTTAGTGAAAGTAGTTTACACACAAGTTTTCTCTTCTTTTATTCACCCCTCAGGCCACTTTGTTCAGCACCTATCATTTGCTAAATTGGTTCTTGGAAACATCAGCAAGCTGGTTGCCAGCTCCAGTGGTCTTTCAGTCATTAGTCCCAGAACTCTCTGCAACAACGTGCACCTTAGAGCTTGCTTCCCGTGGAGTGTGACACATGCTCTCCTGGTTCTCCTTCAACCTTTCTGACTACTCTTTAGTCTCCTTCAGAGTCACCTCTGTCCCTGTCTTGTGTCCTTTCCTTACTCTACTTTTCACCTCCTTAAACAAGTTGCATCCACTCTTTAGTTATTACATACGTGTTGGTTGCTCCCAAATCTTGAACCCTGACTTTTCTCTCAACCTGGCAGCCTGCTTACTGGACAGTTTCATCTAGATGTCCCACAGATCACTCAAACTAAACATGTAAGAAGGGGAAATAATCCTTCGTGTTCTCCACCTCACTTAATACTATTACTGCTGGGCCAGCCCCAGTGGCCTAGTTGTTAAGTTCAGCACGCTCCACTTCAGTGGCCCAGGTTCGGTTCCCAGGCACAGACCTACACTACTCGTCTGTCAGTGGCCATGCTGTGGCAGCGGCTCACATACAAAAAGATTGGCAGTGTATGTTAGCTCAGGGCGAATCTTCCTGAGCAAAAGAAATAAAAAATATGAAACCTCAGAATCATCTTTTAGTTCTCCTTTTCATCTACCTACATTTGATTACCACTCCTGCCAGCATTACCAATATAATACCTCAATTTTTCCCTTTTTTATTTTTATTTCCATTGTCCTGGTACTCACCTTGGCTACCACTTAGGTCTTGAAACTGATCTCTCTGCTTCTTGTCTCCCTGAGCTGCAGTCCTCCATCTTTCACGTTGCCACCAGACCCCTAGCTGAAATCTTTTGCTTTTAGGAAAAGTCTAAGCTCCTTGATATAGAATTGGAAACCTTTCCAATCTGGTCCCAGTCTATCTCTAGAGTGCCTTTCTGCTTCCTATCTCATACCCCTTTCTCCTGCTCACTCCCCCTGCCCCCAACACACATACTTTGGGTTGATGACTCTGTGCCTTTATTCTTGCTGTTCCCTTTGCCTGTAACAGTCACCCTCCTTTTACTTGTCCTTTGAGACAATTTAACTATCCTTTTGTCTGTGAAATCCTCCAGGCCCCTTTCTTCCCTTGTCTTCTCTGCCCTAGACAGAATTAGCTTATTTGATCTTTCTGCTCGTATAGCTCCTTGCTCATACCCCTAGTCTGACACATAACTTTCTCATTGCTTGTTGATATATCTTCTGGCCTTTCTAGACTATGAGTTCCTAGAAGGCAGGAATCACACATATCGGTGTAGGCCCAGCATCTAAAGAAGTAAAACCCTTTTAAGACCGAGACCTAATAGATATTTTCTGAGTTGAATGAAAAAACAACTTGCTTTATCCCTGTAGACAGTGGAGTCAAAAGTAAATTATTGGGCCACTGCAGACTAATCAGGGGATCCTAATGAAGATCTTGTGTAGGTAGAATCTAGGAAGACTTTATTCCTATGCTGAGGTCCTGTCTCAGGACCTTCCTAATCCCTCAGCTCAGATTCTTACTCCATCACCATTTCAGCTCTAAAGTCTGACTGACCAGAGCAGGTATAGTTCCCAGTAAGCTGACTGGAATGTTTCTGTCTTTGAGAGGAGTAGTTATCCAAGGCTTTGGGTGAGGAGACTCTGCCTTCCTGCCTGATCCTTACCTCGCTCCTCTCTGGAGGAGATAGTCTCCTGAGACACTCCAGACACAAGAAGCTATTTGACCTTCACCCCCACCCCCTCCCCACCGAGTTATCTGATCTGGGAGCTGGTGAAAGAAGAGAGCTGTAACTAAGTACAGCATTCCACCTCACTGGCAGGGCCCTGCAGACTCCCAGAAGGGCCCATGGAGGGATGGGCAGTTGTCCATCTGCCTCTAGCCCTGGTCATTCCTCCAGCTGCTGCTTTGCAATTCCTGGAGCTTTTACTCTCTCCTTTGCACAGGCTCCCCAAGAGAAAGGCTCCAGAATCACAGAGTCAGTACTCATACCTACATCCCTGGTCTAAGCCAGACCATTTCCAGAAAGGGTTTCCAGGCAGTCACCAGGGGCACAGAAGGCCAGGAAAACAGGAAACTGGTCCCCTCTGACTAATTCTCATGGGAGCCACCTGCTCACAGGTGTGGAAATGATTACCTATTACTGTAGTTTCTCTCTCTGGGGAACAGTCTGGTAGAGTTGGCCTCCTGTCTCTCTATAGCAGCTCAAGTTATAGACCTGTCCTTCCATCTCCGTGCTGACATTGCCTTTACACACCCTGTGCCCTCCCTTCACATTTTGCAGTCCCTGCAGCTTGATAGATAATAGGGGGTGTACTAGGATATTAGTTGTTGGCGGGAGGCCCTCTCTACCCCCTCACTGCGCCCTGACTTTCTCCCATGTCTACTGACCTCTGGTGGTGATAGTTTGAACTGTACCTTTCCTTTCTAGTTAGTGGCCTGCTGGCAAGTAATGGTGCATATTTTCTCAATAATCCAAATTCAAATATTCAAATACTGTATTAAATGGAAATTTTTTTAAAAAGATTTTATTTTTTTCCTTTTTCTCCCCAAAGCCCCCCGGTACATAGTTGTATATTCTTTGTTGTGGGTCCTTCTAGTTGTGGCATGTGGGACACTACCTCAGCATGGTTTGATGAGCAGTGCCATGTCCACGCCCAGGATTCGAACCAACGAAACACTGGGCCGCATGCAGCGGAGCGGGCGAACTTAACCACTCGGCCACGGGGCCAGCCCCTAAATGGAAATATTTTTATTGCCAAATTTTGTATTTGTTTTCAGGCATCATGACATAATGCAAAGAACAAGGCCTGGGCTTTAGCGTCAGACTTACCTAGTTCAATCCTAGCTCTGCTGTTTCCCAGCAGAGTGACCTTGGCCAGGTTACCTAAGCTCAGCTTGCTTACCTATAAAGTGACGATAATAATAAATATCTCGAAGGGAGAATTAGGTGAGATGATTGTACAATGCATAGCCCTGGATGTGCTCTAGCACGGAGGTGCTCAATAAAACTTTGTTACCTTCTCAATAATGGTGATTTGTTCAGTGTCTGAGTCAATGTAATTTTTAAAATTTTGGTAACATAAGATTTACCATTATACCCATTTTCAATGTGATTTTTTTTTTTAAGATTTTATTTTTTTCCTTTTTCTCCCCAAAGTCCCCCGGTGTATAGTTGCATAATTTTTTTAGTTGTGGGTCCTTCCAGTTGTGGCATGTGGGACACCACCTCAGTGTGACCTGATGAGCAGAGCCATGTCCACACCCAGGATCTGAATCGGTGAAACCCTGGGCCATCGAAGCAGAGTGAACAAACTTAACCACTAGGCCACGGGGCCGGCCCCAATGTGACTTTTTTTGTACTGTGAGAAATTTTATGTAACTGTTTTCTGATTCTTGAGTTTGAAAAATGAGGTCTGAGTATGGGCTGTGAAGCCTCTCTCTGCCCAGGGAGCTGCATATCTAAACCCTGAAAATACGAGATCTTGGACACAGCTGAATGGCTCTGAGCACTTGACTTCACTGGGGTTTCCAGCCTGGGAAGGGCTGACAGGATCCAGCACTTTTCTCCAGGGTCAGCAAAGGGCAGAGGTTTGAAGTTAGGCATCACTGGGTTCTCAGCTGGGCGTCCAAGGCCCCCTCCTCCCACTTTGCAGAGAAAAGAGGAGGTGGCTGAAGAGAGAAGGATATGAGATTGGTTCTTTGCTCCTCCCTGTCTCTCCCTGCTTTTCCCCACACCCATCCTCTCCCCCACAGCGGCCGTCTCCCCCACAGAGACTGGGAAGACAGAGGGGGGCGGAGTTGGGGACTGAGGGATCAGAAGCCCCACAGTGCCCCATATCTGAAGGAAGCTCTGGCCAGGGGCAGCTGTGCTGGCTCATGCTTCCCTCCTGCTGCTACCTCCTTCAGCATGATGCTGGGGACTCTGGGGCTTTGGGCACTGCTTCCTACAGCTGTGCAAGGTAAGTGTCTACAGGGAGGGGAAGGGTCTTTCCATCCACCTATTGAGGGAAAGGGGCATTTGAAGCAGCAGCCACCCCCCTGGAAGAGTGGTAAGTGGGGTGGGTGAGTAAGGACGAAGGGTAGAGCCATGTGTCCCCATGGTGGAGGTCAGGTTCCAGGCCTCTGCTGACCCTGTTTCCTCCTGTGGCTTTACCATGCTGGCCCTTGGATACGAAACATGTTTTGTCTCTCCTTTTGGCTGCTGTTTTTCCCTTGCATTCACTCCCATCTTGAACCCTCCCCTCTCCTCATCCTGGGCTGCAGCACCCCCAAGCACACGGACCTGTGTGTTCTTTGAGGCCCCCGGCGTGCGGGGAAGCACAAAGACACTGGGGAAGCTGCTAGATGCAGGACCAGGGCCCCCCAGGGTTATCCGCTGCCTCTACAGCCGCTGCTGCTTTGGGATCTGGAACCTGACCCAAGACCGGGCACAGGTGGAGATGCAAGGTGAATGGCAAAGTATATAGCAGGTGATAGCTAGGGTGGGAGACAGGTAGATCCTGGGTTGGGGGTGGCAGCTGAGGGAAAGGAGGAGAAATGGAATGTATGGAGGAAAAGAAAAGCCCATATGAGATGGAAGGGATGGATGTCTCTGATAGAGGAAGGATTTATCATCTCTGTTCCCAGACCCCATTATGCACCCTCTCTCTCTTTCTTTCTCACTTTTTCCCCTTCTCTTCTCTTCTCTTCTCCGAATCCCACCCCATCAGGATGCCGAGACAGTGATGAGCCAGGCTGTGAGTCCCCCGATTGTGACCCAAGCCCCCGAGCCCACCCCAGCCCCAGCTCCACTCTCTTCACCTGCTCCTGTGGCACTGACTTCTGCAATGCCAATTATAGCCATCTGCCTCCTCCAGGGAGCCCTGGCACTCTTGGCTCCCAGGGTCTCCAGGCTGTCGCAGGTAGCCACCCGGGGTGCTGAAGCTGGGTGGGGGCTGGGGCCCAGGTTAGGATGAGAAGTAGAACCAGGGCCAGTTCTCACCCTACCTCCCCACCACCAAGCTTCCCTCCTCCTGGCCTTGAGAAGTTGGTTGCCCTGGTGACTGGGAGATAAGGGGGCTTGTGACCAGAGTGGGGGTGGGTCTAGAAGCAAGTCCTCCAAGGAGGGAGAGAGGAGCAGAGATTGGATTTGGGGCAGAGCTCATCCAGCCTGCATTCTTGCCTTAACGTCCAGGTGAGTCCATCTGGATGGCGCTGGTGCTGCTGGGGCTGTTCCTCCTTCTGCTGCTGCTGCTGGGCAGCATCATCTTGGGTATTAATCTGCCCCATCCCTCCCTTGTAACCCCAAGAAACTGCCCCAAAGCTCTGACCCCCTCCAGGCTCCCCTGACCCCATGGTTCTGAGATCTCTACAGCCTGACCCCCATTAACTCCCGCAAAGCTCCCTTCCCAGTCTCCATGCCTGTGCACCCTGAGCCTAGGCTTTTCTCTGCCCTAGTCCTGCTACAGCGAAAGGCCTCCAGAGTGCGAGGTGGGCCAGAGCCAGAGCCAGAGCCAGACTCAGGCAGAGACTGGAGTACAGAGCTGCCCGAGCTGCCCGAGCTGTGCTTCTCCCAGGTGCCCGGGGAGGGAGGGAAGGGTCCCTTAGGCACTCCCAGAGGGTGTGTCGGGAGGAAGCCTGGCCCTCGTACCAGCTAAGGCCTGCACCCAGCGCCATGTCCCCATCAGGTCATCCGGGAAGGAGGTCACGCGGTGGTATGGGCTGGGCAGCTGCAAGGAGAGCTGGTAGCCATCAAGGCCTTCCCCCTGAGGGCTGTGGCCCAGTTCCAAGCTGAGAGAGCATTGTACGAGCTGCCAGGCCTACAGCACGACCACATTGTCCGCTTTATCACTGCCAGCAGGGGGGGCCCTGGCCCCCCGTCCTGTGGGCCCCTGCTGGTACTGGAACTGCACCCCAAGGTGAGGGCCAAAGAATGTCTACATGTGTGTTTGCCTGCGTGTGTATGTGGATGGGGCTGGATGGCAGCTGGGCCCTGCCCACACTTACTCTTCTGCTTTAGATTTCCTCTTCTCTAAAACATTAAACACGACTTTTCTTGTTTTTTCTTTTTTATTACACAAGCAATACTTGCTAATATTTTTAACTCATAATATATAGATAAGGAAAGGGAGAAATCAAAACAATTCATATTTCCAGCCTTAAAGAAAGCCCTTGTTAAAGAAATACCTCCAGGCCTAGCCCTCCAAACTCATTCATATATTCACTCAACAAATATTTATGAACTGTCTGTCAGGCACTGTGCTGAGTGCTAGGAAAAACACACCTAGTCCCTGACTTACAGATTTTACTGGGTAGTGGAGGAGACGGAAATGGATCAGGTAAACAGAAAAATAAGTGTCATCTGTCAAGCGTGTTAGGTGCTGAAAGAAAGGCCATGGTAGTGTAAGAGAGGAACCAGGAGTCAGGACTTGAGGGCAGGACGGTGAGCAGTAGAGTGAAGAGGAAGAGGTAGGCAGGGGCCGGGACACACCCCATCTTGTGGGCCTACTCAGGACTCCGCACCCCACCGGCACCTGCAGCTCCTCCTCCTCTGAAATCTTTTTTTTTTTTTAAAGATTTTATTTTTTTCCTTTTTCTCCCCAAAGCCCCCCGGTACATAGTTGTATATTCTTCATTGTGGGTCCTTCTAGTTGTGGTACATGGGCCGCCGCCTCAGCATGGTTTGATGAGCAGTGCCACATCCGCGCCCAGGATTCGAACCAACGAAACACTGGGCCACCTGCAGCGGAGCGGGCGAACTTAACCACTCGGCCACGGGGCCAGCCCCTGAAATCTTGAATTCTGGAAAAGAATCCTCTTTGACCATGTGCCTCACTGCCCAGCTGAAAAATCACTGCTTTTCTGGTTTTGTTTGTTTAACTTTCCTGGCGCACTGAACGTGCTCAGCGTCTGTTGAATGAGGAACTTTATTGCTCCCTTCCCTCCAACTCTCACTTGCTCCCCACCTGCTGCTCTCTTACCCGACGGCCCTCCCTGTCTGGCCGCTCTGCCATGCAGACCTGACACCTCAGGCCAGGTGGTTCACGAGCGGTGCCCCTGCTTAGCTCGCCTTCCCTTTTTTGGTTCTGTCTTTGTCCTGAGTTGTCTGAGACAGTGTGATATGGTTAATAGTGAGTGACGCTGGAGTCAGACTGCTTTGGTTCATGCTCTACTTCCCTCTGGCCAAGTGACTTCCAGCCAGTTTACTTAGCTCTCTCGCAAGCTCCTCTGTGAAATGGGAGTGACAGGAGTACCTGCCTCCTAGGGTTGTGAGGATTACAGGAGGCCTGGCTCACAGTTAGTGCTCAGGACCCTTAACCTAGAGTTACTATTTCTCCTGTCCATCTGTCTGATGCATGTTCTCACTCCTCCTCTGCCTGTCTTGGCCTGGCTGTGTCAGTGTGTCAGTCTGCTGGGATATGCAGGGTGTGTCTGTCAACTATCTCTGTTCCCTGAGGTAGATCAGTCACCTCCAGTTTTGTGTGTCCCCCTCTTCTCTCTGCTTTTCCCCAGGGATCCCTGTGCCACTACTTGACCCAGCACACCAGTGACTGGGGAAGTTCCCTGCGGATGGCACTGTCCCTGGCGCAGGGCCTGGCGTTTCTCCATGAGGAGCGCTGGCAGGATGGTGGGTGAGCTGGGAGCAGGGAGCCATGGGAGTCAGGAGTCACACTGCTATGTTTCTGATTCTCCCTGAGCTTGAAGGGGAAGGATTGGGTCAAAAAAGAGAGCAAGAGGATCCATGTCCTTTCAACCTTGGCTTCTCCCACAGGCCAATATAAACCAGGTATTGCCCACCGAGATCTGAGCAGCCAGAACGTGCTCATTCGGGAGGATGGGTCGTGTGCCATTGGAGACCTGGGCCTCGCCTTGGTGCTCCCTGGCCTCACTCAGCCCCCTGCCTGGGCGCCTACTCAACCCCGAGGCCCAGCTGCCATCATGGAGGTGAGTACTCTGGATCAAGGTGAGGCCCAGGATGATGGTGGCGGTGCTGATGAAGATGTACCCGTTGCCGTGGCAACAGTGCAGCAGTACTGACAGTGTTTGCGGAGGACATTGCTGAGTCTGTAGTTGGGGAAATGTTCACGGATCAGTGTTGTGGTAAGGGTTGCCAGGGAGATGATTCTTGGCCCTTCACACCTTGCTCTCCAGGCTGGCACCCAGAGGTACATGGCGCCGGAGCTCTTGGACAAAACTCTTGATCTACAGGACTGGGGCATGGCCCTCCGGCGAGCTGATGTCTATTCTCTGGCTCTGCTCCTGTGGGAGATCCTGAGCCGCTGCCTAGACTTGCGGCCTGGTAAGGATGGGTGCTACAGTCCCCGCTCCGGCCCCCCAGGATGTCTCACCCACCCATTACAGATACATCTACCTCCTGACCCAGGAAACCCTGCCCTTCTCCCCCATGGCCTTCCTATAAGGGAGGCACCCTAGGGGTAACTGACACCTAGCCCCATGTGCCTTTCTGCAGACAGTAGACCACCACCCTTCCAACTGGCTTATGAGGCAGAGCTGGGCAGCACCCCCACCACCTGTGAGCTGTGGACCTTGGCAGTGGAGGAGAGAAGGCGCCCCTACATCCCATCTACCTGGCACTGCTTCGCCACAGTAAGAGGCCACAGGCTGGTGGGCTGGGGATCTGTAGAGTCTGGGCATGGTCTTCAAGGACTTGTCTGCCAGGACCAGCCCATCTAGTCCTAGCTCCTCTCATCTCTCACCACTCCTAGCTCGTGTTCAGCTGGAGCTGGGCAAATTTGCTCTGTACCTCAGTTCATCTTCTTCCACCATAAGTCTCACACAGCCCATCCCTGAAACACAGCCTTCCTCCTGCTCAGTCTTGCCTAGTCTGTCTCTCTTCTCCCCACCATCGGTTAGCCCTGTTCCTCAGTCCCCTGCTCCAGGAAGCCCTCCTTGGCTTTGCTTCTGCCCTGAGATCTGCCCCCAAGATGGCTTCTCTTCTGGTATACTGGAGCCCAACTTTCAATCCAAGAAGTCGTCATTCTGTCCTACATGTCTGTGTTTCTGCTATGACCCAATAAAGCCAGTTCTAGGTGTAAAGGGTGAAAGCAGTGGCCTAACGTTGAAATTTCAGGGGTCTGCACAAACAGCTTCTTAACACGAAGCCCCTTCCTCTGTTATGGTCTGAAATTTCCACTGCACATGTATCTGCTGGGTTAGATAACTGAGGCCCAGGCATTGTTTGCAGAAGAGCCTGGTTGCCTGAGAGGAAGGAGAGTAATTTCCCTTTAGCACGTTAAGCCATCAAGCTGAATTAGCTCCTCAGAGGAAAAGGTGGGCCCTTTGGAAGGTACCTAGAGAACCTGTCTCATCCGGAACAAGATACAGAGGGCTGGATTTCAGTGAGGGGGAGGGCAGGGAGGCTCCAGACAGGATCAGAAGAGGGGTGTTGAAAATGGGAGTGGTGGACACCTTTTAATCCTGGGGTCCACTCAGGATCCTAGGGTCAAGCCTGCCTGCTGGTCATCTTCCTAGGACCCTGGTGGCCTGAGAGAGCTCCTAGAGGACTGTTGGGATGCAGACCCGGAAGCCCGGCTGACAGCTGAGTGTGTGCAGCAGCGCCTGGCTGCCCTGGCCCAGCCTCAGGAGGCCCACTCCTTCCCAGAGGGCTGTCCACCTCCCTGCCCAGAGGACTGCCTCTCAACTCCTCCCCATTGCCATTCTCCCTTGTAGGCCTCAGCTGAGTGGCTGCCATGTCCGTGTTCAGCAAGGCCCTTGTTCCAGGAATCCTCAACCTGCCTGTACCATTTCTCGTGTGTAAATATGCAGTTTATGTGTCATCTATGTATGTGCAAACGTGAATATGATCATATGCCCGTCGGCTCTGCCTCACCACTCCCCTTCCTACTTGCCAAATGCTTGGATTCTTCTGTGGACATCCAGTCCACTGCAGTTCTGACCAGTAACTGGGGATAGCCATGCCCAGGAGAGCGACAAAGTCAGCTTTCCTGACTCCACATTCTTGGACCTTCCTCCCTTCCTGTGACCCTGGGCTCCTCCTGTCTCTCTTCTCTTCCTTCTCCTCCACAAGGCTTTATTTGTTGGGATCTCATGCTAGGCACTGGGGAAAGAAGGATGAATACAATGAAATCGCTGCTCTAAGAGTACTCAGAGAACTACAGCTCACTTTGTTGGGGTCCCAGGGGAGTGTCCTCTCCTGAGGCTTGAGCAGGAAGGCCTCGCAGGGCACAGGATGCTTGAACTGGATCTTGAAGGAGAAAGAGTTTTCCACGAGTGTTGGGGGCAGTAGGGCATTCCTGGCCCAGGGAGGTATAGCACCACATGGTGTGGTAAGAAACTGTAAGTAACCTGGTAGCAAAGTGTAGGGCGTGTGGTGGGAGCGAGGTGGGGTGCTGTGGAGAACTGTAGATAAGGCCAGGTGTGTGAGCCTGCTGCAAAGGTCTTCCTTCATTTCTTTTTTTGTGTTTTCTCTACTGGCTTTTCTTTACCACCCCAGGCTCCTTGAACACTGGGCGCCCCTCAGGGTCAGCCCAGTTGCAGGTGTCTGGTTTATAGTCCTAGCTTAGCTTCTAGCTACCTGAGTGCTCTGGGGCGTGTTACTTCCTCCTTCTAGGGCTTAGGTTTCTCATTTGCCAAATAGGGTGTTGGAGGCCTCTGGTCTAACCAAAGAGTGATAGGAGGGCTTTGACTTCGCTACAACAGGATTGCTTCCTGCCCAGTGACCCACTAGCTCTACATCCTTCAGCAAGTTACTGAACCCCCAGAATCGCAGTTTTACCGTGTGTAAAGTACAGATAAAAACACCTCCCCTGCTTGCAGGGTCAACTCAGGGTGAAAAAGAAGCGGTGACAGGTCTCACGAAGCACCTGGCCTCAGTGGACACTCTGTAATGGTGGCAGTTGTGACTGACGCCTGTCTAGCTTGGTTGTTCTAGAGTTCCAGGATTAGCCTCTGGAAAGCCCATGTGCTCTCAAGCCCTGAGACTTCCTGCACACCCAGAGCTCTAGTTCTCTATGAGACTTCATCACTTGGATAGGCCGCCACTGCCTGGAACTACACACACCAAAATCCAAGCTCCTGCCCTCCCCTCACCACCAGGTCTGCCTTCCCCCCTTCCCCTGACTCTCAAAGTTACCCAGTTTCTCTTGGTCCTAGAGGATCCCAACAAGGAAGGTGTTCTTGCTCCTTCCTGTGGCCCCAGCTCATTGTACCCGTATCTCGTCAGTTTTTGAGTCCCACTGAGGTGGCATGGGCAGGGCCTGCTTCTGGGCACCATCTCCCTTTCCTTCTTCCTAAGCCTGGCAGGCCCCAACAACGGCAGTTGCTTCTTGGCTGCCTATTTTCCCCCCAGTCTAGGTTAAACACTGCTCTCTGAATAATCTTTTTTTTTTTTTTTTGAGGAAGATTAGCCCTGAGCTAACTACTGCCAATCCTCCTCTTTTTGCTGAGGAAGACTAGCCCTGAGCTAACATCCATGCCCATCTTCCTCTACTTATATGTGGGACGTGTACCACAGCATGGCTTTTGCCAAGCAGTGCCATGACCGCACCCGGGATCCGAACCGGCGAACCCTGGGCGACCGAGAATTAGAATGTGCGAACTTAACTGCTGTGCCACCGGGCTGGCCCCTGAATAATCTTTTTTTTTTTTTTTAAAGATTTTATTTTTTCCTTTTTCTCCCCAAAGCCCCCCGGTACATAGTTGTGTATTCTTTGTTGTGGGTTCTTCTAGTTGTGGCATGTGGGACGCTGCCTCAGCGTGGTCTGATGAGCAGTGCCATGTCCGCGCCCAGGATTCGAACTAACGAAACACTGGGCCGCATGCAGCAGAGCGCGCGAACTTAACCACTCGGCCACGGGGCCAGCCCCGCCCCTGAATAATCTTTAAACATGACTTTCATTATCTTTTGCCTCTGCTCAACAGCCTACTTGCCTTTTTCATGACAATCCAATGAACACCGTTTATAGAGGAGGAAACCAAAGGCTCAGAGAAGTTTAGAAATGTGTCCAAGGTCACACAGGATTTAAATAACAGAGCAAGAATCTTCAGCCATTAAAAACTCTTCACAAAAAACACCATAAATTATTAGAAATGGATAATGTCTATGTAAAAAGAACATACAAACATATGCTGACAAGCATAAGGTTATGTTAAATAAAAAATAAACCTATGATCACAAGAAAATAAACAAATCCCAATAGAGGGACGTTTTACAAAATACCCAACCAGTACTCCTCAAAACTGTCCAGATCATCAAAAACAGAAAGTCTGAGAAACTATCACAACCAATAGGAGCCTAGGGAGACACAATGACTAAATATAATGTGATATCCTGGACAAGATCCTGGAATAGAAAAAGGACATTGGGTAAAAACTAAAGAAATCTGAATAAAGTCATGGAGTTTAGTTAATAGTTGTGAATCAATATTGGCTCATTAAGGTAACAAACACACTGTACTGGGCTGGCCTGGTGGCACAGCAGTTAAGTGCCACGTTCCGCTTTGCCGGCCCAGGGTTCGCAGGCTGGGTTCCCAGGTGTGGACATGGCACGGCTTGGCAAGCCATGCTGTGGCAGGAGTCCCACATATAAAGCAGAGGAAGATGGGCATGGATGTTAGCTCAGGGCCGGTCTTCCTCAGCAAAAAAGAGGTAGATTGGCAGCAGTTAGCTCAGGGCTAATCTTCCTAAAAAAAACAAAACAAAAACAAACACGCTATACTAATGTAAGATGTTAGCAAAAGGGGGAAGTGGGTATGAGGAATGTGAAAACTTTGTATTACCTTCTCAACTTTTTCTGTAAATCTAAAACTGTTCTAAAAAAATAAAGCTTATTGAAAAAAAAAAAAAGACTATGACCATCTCCATCGCATCAGAAAGGCCATAAATACAAAGAACAAGGGGAGGGTTGTGGTAAGTATTACAATGCCCACTTGCAGTGTTTTTGAGTGGGTGTGTTGTAATAAGTTGTACCGAAAGGATCACTAATATAAAAGTCAGAAAACCTAGATTATAGTCTTGGCTCTCCTAACTGTGAACTCCTAGAAAAGTTTGTTTATTTAATTTCCACAGGAAGTTGAATGAATGATTCCCTAAGTCGTTTCCAACCCCATAATTCCATGACTCTATGATTAAGTATTAAAGTCCCAGTTGCGAAGATTACTTCCCCAAATCCAGTGTTTGCCTGGTGTGATTTTGCCACAATTAGTGATTCCGTGCTCATGTGGATGCAATGTGCTTGTAAATAAACTTTCTAGAAACTTGAAAACATGAATCTGTGACTAGAGGTGGACTCATGGGATGGAAACTGTGTGGCTGAAGATTGGGGTGGTAGACAGCAGGAAGAAGACTGATTTTTTACTATCTACTTTTTTTCACCTCTTGAATTTTGAACTATATGCATTATTTGTGTATTAAAATTAAACATTTGCTTATTAATTTAAAAAGTCTATGCCTAGAAAAAAAGACTAGATGGTAATAAACCAAAATATTAACAATGGTGATTTTGTTTAGGTGATGGGATCAAAAGCAGTTTGCTTTTTCTTTCTACTTTTCTGTGTTTTCAAACTTTTCTTTAATTCTCGTGAATTCTTATAGAATTTAGAGAAAGCATGTAAACAAATTTACTATCCCCAGGAAATATTCCTTAAAAAGCCACATATGACTTCAGATTGCCCCCCTTTGGCACTTGTGAACACAACTTGTAGCATATTTTGTGCTTATTGACATGTTGTTTGCTGGTTATTTCATTAGTGAGCAGTATATTCTCACTAGACTATAACTGAAAGCGTGAAGGATGTGGAGAAACGTCGTTTATTTTCCTTGTAGTTCCTTTATGGCACGCAGTTCAGGCCTCTGCGTACAGCCTGGTGGACTGGATAGAGTCCTGGGTGCCTGACCCGGACCTGTCATTAACTAGGGTGGAACCTGCAAAAAGCCGCTTCTCCTTTCTGAACCTGGGTTTTGTCATCTGTTCAAGGAGAGTGCCATTCACTTTTGACGTGCTAAGGTATTTTCAATAAACGCTTCTTGACCAACAGACCTGCTAGGAAAAGGATGAAGAGCTCGTACAGTGACACACATTTGGTCCTGTGCCATGGTTTTATGTCTTCACCTACCTAAAGTCCTTAGAGAGCAAGGGACAGGTGTCTCATGCTGCTTTGCATTTCTATAGTGCCTGCTTCAGTTCTAGGGAAATATCTACAAAATCTTCTGTATCTTCAGCCTCTTCTCTGAATGTCTGCTTCACCTTCGCCCACCCATTAAAACGAACCTTGCTTTTCCTGAAGTGGTAGCTGTTTTTTCTTTCACACACCCTGGAGAAGAGGTAGATATTTTCCTTTCTGTCTGTTACTACTTCCAGACCATTTCTCCATCTCTGTCCTTCCAAAACCCAAGCTTCTCTGAAATACATGCCATCAGACCATGGCACTTGCTATCTCACCTCATTGTGATCACTTACAGACCTCCTGGTCACTCCTCTGTATTTGTTAAAGACTAGCATCTGGCTCAAAGTCTTTTTCTTTCTTTCACTCCTTTTGTCATCATTCTTGGTGTCTTCAGTCACTATGTAGATAATCTAATCCTTTGATGACCTTTTTACTTTCAACAGGATTTTCCTCCACTACCTAAGTCACCAAGATCTGTTTCAAGCATTCCACTTTCTGGATACCAACTCTTACCTTCTCAGCTCACTTACTCCAGGGAGCCTCCACTGAGACATCTAATCCATTGACCCCGCCATTTTTTCACTCTCCATCAAGTCCCTATGTCTTCTCTCCTTGCTCAGTTTATTTTCCATGGTCTATCACCACAGTCACTACCGTGCATACACTCTCAACAGCCTTGCCCTCTTTACCTTTCTCTTATACTTTCCAGGCAAATCCTAGCCCAAGTTAAATCCAGTTCTTCTATTCCACAGTTGTCCCATGCGTTGGAATTTAACTAGAGGAAACCGCCACCTGTGCTGACTGGTCTCCTTCTACATATATGGCCCACAAACTTCAAATGGGCCCTCTGTAATCCCACTGCATGGGATTATCCCACTGCAATGCCCAGTAATCCTACTGCAGGGGCCAGCCTGGTGGCGCAGCAGTTAAGTGTGCACGTTCCACTTTGGTGGCCCGGGGTTCACCAGTTTGGATCCCGTGTGTGCACATGGCACTGCTTGACAAGCCATGCTGTGGTAGGTGTCCCACATATAAAGTAGAGGAAGATGGGCATGGATGTCAGCTGAGGGCCAGTCTTCCTCAGCAAAAAGAGGAGGATTGGCAGCAGATGTTAGCTCAGGGCTAATCCTCCTCCTCAAAGAAAAATCCTACTGCAGCTCCCTGGTCAGTTCACTTGCCCACTTTCTGACATGACTATTTCTAATCTTATTCCCCCACCTCACTCTCAACTGATAACTTTGCTTGTTATTTCTCCGAAGGGAAAAAAAAATGGGAACAATCAGCAAAGAATGGTCACATCTTCCCACCATTAAATCTACCAATGCTTTTGCATCTGGACCTGTAGACTCTGCTTTCTCTCCTATTACAATAACAATAATAACCCATATATAGGGCTCTCTATATGTCCAGCATTGTTCTGAGCCCTTCACATATTTAAGTCATTTAATCCTCACTATGAATTAGGTGTGATTATTATCCCTTCTTTTGCAGGTGGGGAAATGGAGGCACGGAAGTTTCTTTTTAACTACCTTGTCCAGGGTCACAAAGCAAGTAGTCTGGCTCCAGAGCTCATTTTCTCTAGCACTATACTGCTACTGTCCTAAAGCCAGTGCCTCCACCCACAGACTGGAAGGCCTCTTCTTGGTCACTGAGGAACTTTGCTCCTTCACCTATCCCTTATTTCTCCAGCAACAGCAGTTTTTCTCTCTACTGGATTATTCTCATCAGTTCACAACAGGCTTTAAACTCTCCCATCTTACAAAGCCCTTCCTAGACTGTCTGGTCTCTTATGATTACTACTCCATTCTTTCGCTTCCTTATTTACCAAGACTCCTTGGAAGAATTGCTTTTATTTACTGTCTCCACTTTCTCACTTCTCATTCTCTCTTCTGTTTGTTTCAGGCAAAATTTTATCTTTACCATGTAATTGAGACTGCTCTGAAAAAGTGCACTATCTTTGCAAAATCCAATGGCCAACTCTCAGTCTGCATTCTGCATAATTTATCGGCAGCATTTGACACATTGGATAGCTTCCTCCTCAAATCCTTTCTTTGTACTCGCTTCTGATTTTCCCCCTACCTCACTGGCCACTCACTCTGTATCCTTTGCCAGCTCCTCTTCTCTTTCCAATTTGCCAATAAACCTTGGCAGGCCTGAGGCCAAGTGCTGGGCCCTCTTTTCTACTCTTGCCACACTTGCCCCCTAGCTGACCTCATCTATTTCCTTGGCTTTACATACCTTGATAACTCTCGATTTTTTTCTCTTTAGACCAGACCTCTCCCTGAGCTCCAGATTGCCAAATCCAACTGCCTTCTCCACATCTCCACTTGGATATCTGATGGGAATCCTTAACTTCACTGGTCCAAATGTGATCATTCCCCATCTTCTTTATTTCAGTAAATGGTACCGTTATTTCCCAGTTGCTCACTATCCTTGGGTTCACCCTTGATTTCTCTATTTCTTTCACACTCCGCATCCGGCCCAAATCTGCTAAGTTCTACCTTAAAAAAATACCCAGGGGCCAGCCCAGTGGTCCAGTGGTTAAGGTCACATGTTCTGCTTTGGCAGCCCGGGGTTCACCGGTTCGGATACCGGGTGTAGACATAGCACCACTTGGCAAGCCATGCTCTGGCAGGTGTCCCACATGTAAAGTGGAGGAAGATGGGCATGGATGTTGGCTCAGGGCCAGTCTTCCTCAGCAAAAAAGAGGAGGATTGGTAGCAGATGTTAGCTCAGGGCTATCTTCCTCAAAAGAAAAAAAAAATTAAGCTGGTCTAATAGTATAGTTCTTAATATTAATGAGAACAATAATAGTAATACTATCATATAATAAGTGCTTATTATGTGGCAGATACATGATTATCTCATCACAACAACCCTATGAGGTAGGTACCAGCGCCACTGTTTTACGGATGAGGGAATTGATGGTCCAAGAGGTTAAATAACTATTCAAGGTCACACAATAAATGGCAAAGTCAGGATGTGAATCCAGGTCTGTCTGACCAACTCCAGAGCCACCATGCTCTACTCCTCTTTGTCTACTTGTTCATTCATTCATTCATTCACGTAATTACTCATTTAACAGTTTATTCACTGATACTCTCCTACATACATGGCACTGTGTGAAGCATTAAGTGTTGAGGAACACAGTCCCTGCTTTCAAGAAGCTTACAGCATAATGTAGGAAGCTGACGTCAATGAAGTAATCACCGATTCATGTATAATTATAAACCGAGATATGTGCACTAAAGGAAAGGCAAGCTTCTGCCAGACACTACAACAAAAGAACCTCGCCTTACTAGGGTGTCAAGGAGCCTTCCCTGAAGAGGTGATCCTATAGCTGAGAGCTGATAAATGAGCAGGAATTAATTAGGCGAAGTAGAGAGAGATGGGGAGAGCATTCTAGGCTGAAGGGGCAGTAAGTGCAAAGGCCCTTCTGCAGAAGTAACCAAGATCTGGAGGGATGAAAGAAGCATTGGGGCTGGAGGGCAGAAAGCCAGGGGTGAGCATTGTGAGAAGAAACCAGAGAAGCAGCAGGGCCAGACTGCTGCAGACACTACAGTACATAATAAGATTTTGAGTATTTTTTTGTTGGATGAGTTGGGGGAAATAGACACATACATTGCTGGTGAGAATGTAAATAAATATAACCTCTATGGAGGGTAGTTCATCAACATCTATAAAAAGTAAAAATATGTAAAATGACATATATATAACGTTATTTATTGGAACACTGGTTTTTGTTTGTTTGTTGAGGAAGATTTTCCCTGAGCTAACATCTGTGCCAATCTTCCTCTATTTTGTATGTGGGTCGCTTCCACAGCATGGCTGATGAGTGGTGTAGGTCCATGCCCAGGATCCAAACTGAAGGGAGTGTGCCAAACCTAACCACTATGCCACAGGGCCAGCCCCTGTGACACTGTTTTTAATAGCAGAAGACTGAAAATAACACGCATATCTGTTAACTGGTTAAATTGATTCTGGGGCCCAGCCCTATGGCCAAGTGCTTGGAGTTCCTCGCGCTCTGCTTTGGTATTCTGGGTTCGTGGGTTTGGATCCTGGGCACAGACCTACTCCACTCATTGGCCATGCTGTTGAGGCATCCCATGTGCAGAGTAGAGGAAGATTGATGCAGATTTTAGCTCAGGGCTAATCTTCCTCAAGCAAAAAAAAGAGGAGGATTGGCAACAGACGTTAGCTCAGGGTGAATCTTCCTCACACACACACACACACACACACACACATGAAAAAACATTAAAAAAAAGATACACTAAAAAACAAAATAGATGACATTAAAAAAATTGATTCTGGTACGTACATTATACAAAAGAATAAAATGCAATTGTGAAAAAGACTGAGGACACACTCTGTGTACTGATCTGGAAATAGCTCCAAGATATATTAAGTGGGGGAAAATGTTGCAAATTAAATTCTGCATCATTTGCTGTTTTTATATTTAAAAGATGGGGTATAAATTTATATCAGTATTTGCTTGATTGCAATGAAGAAACTGTGGCAGTATATATAAGAAATTAAATAAAGGGGTTATGTGGGTTGAGGAAGGCTGCATAGAAGAAGAACGAGAGTGTGAGGGAGGGGCCAGCCCAGTGCTGCAGCAGTCAAGCTCGCACATTCTACTTTGTTGGCCAGGGTTCGCTGGTTCGGATCCCGGGTGCTGATCTACACACTGCTTGTCAAGCCATGCTGTGGCAGCCATCCCAAATATAAAGTAGAGGAAGATGGGCACGGATGTTAGCTCAGGGCCAGTCTTGCTCAGCAAAAACAGGAGGATTGGCAGCAGATGTTAGCTCAGGGCTAATCTTCCAAAAAAAAAAAAAATTAATTAATTAATGGGGTTGGCCCCATGGCTGAGTGGTTGAGTTCGCATGCTCTGCTTCCACAGCCAGGGTGTCGTGGGTTTGGATCCTGGGCACAGGCGTGGCACCACTGGTCAGGCCATGTTGAGGTGCTGTCCCACATGCCACAACTAGAAGAACCCACAACTAAAAATATACAACTATATACCGGGGGGGGGGGGGGGTTTGGGGAGAAAAAGGAAAAATAAAAAATCTTAAAAAAAAATCAAAACACACTATGGTTATGTAAGATATTATCATTGGAAGAAGCTAGGTAAAGGGTACATGGGAATTCTACCATTTTTGCAACTTCTTGTGAGTCTAAAATTATTTCAAAATAAAAAGTATTTAAAAAAATCTATCAAAGTCTTTAGTTCAAGATAACAAACAGTTTAAAATTTATCTTCATATTTATTGTATCCCGCAAATTTGGGATGTAGTTTTTTCATCTTAGCTTAGTTCAAAGTATTTAATTTCATCATGGTTTATTCTTTGACCTGTAGTTATTTGAAAGACTTTTTTTTTTCATTTCCAGATGTATGTTTGTATTTATATTTTACATTGTGGTCAGAGAATATGGGCTGTATTATACAATTCTTTGAAATTTGAATTCTATTGGTTGAGACCAATTTTTATAAATATTCTAAGAAGAATGAATATTTTTTAAGTTTTGGGCGCATGGTTCTACCTATATTCATTAAGTCAAGCTTGTTGTGTTGTTAAAAAAAAGAGGCCAGTGAAGCAACCTAGTCGAGAGATGATGGCGGGTTGGGAGCTGGGAAGATGGAGAGAAGTGGAGGGATTCCAGATTTATTTGGGGACAAAACAGGCACTTCGTAGCGTTGGAGGAAAAGGGGGAAAGATGAAGGAGAGAGCCATGGAGGACGACCTCTTTGGTTTCTGGTTTATGCAATTCGACAGATGGCTGAGCTGTGCAATTAAGACAGAGAATCCTGGGGGAGATTGGGAAATCTCTGCAGAATTCGCCCTAAGAAAGTTTCTTTACTTCCTCCGGGGGCTAGGAGAGAGGCGGCAATATCAAGGCGTGGAGCTGAGTCTCAGCAGCTCCCCGCCCTTCCCTAAGCGCTCTGTATGTACCTGTGTTACAACAGTTATCACGGTGTATTAGCATTCCAAAGTTCGCACGCACTGGACTAAGAGCTCCGAGTGCAGCGGATGGGTTTCTCGTCCGCAGCTCGGAGACTTTGCCCAGAAACTGGCTCCGCCCTCTCCCAGCCCACCTGTCCTAGCCCCGCCCCAGGGATTTCCGGCCCGCCTGCCCCTGCGCACCAGCCTCGCCCTAAAGAGCTCCGCTCCGCCCCTACTGCAACCCCTGCCTCCTAGCCGAGTGGGGGCTAGAGTGATTGACGAGTGTGTTCTCCAATCATAACGCCGAGTGACCACATGATTACCAACTAGGAGGTAGCAGAGGCGGGAGCCCAAGCCTTGGGGTAGGGGTGACCAGGAAGTGAGAGCGGAGACTGGGAAGGACGAGTCAAGCGCTGGAGGTGTAAAGGTGACGGGGGTTCTGGATTCCCCAATTTCGTCATTTCTGTGTCAGGGGTCCCTTCGCAGCTGGGAGCTATGGTCTCTATTTGCCCTTTTTACGGGGGAAGGGGGTGTGTCTACGTATGTAAGTGTCTGAGGATCTTTCCCGAGCTCCCTTCCCGGTTTCGCCTGGAGGTGGGTCCTTCTCTTAGCCTGGGGTTGGGGTCCTGCCCCTCGTCCTCCTCCCCGGGGGCGGTAAAGTTGTTTAAGATCCTCTTTAGCCCGTGGCTGGTTAAAGTCTTCCGGACTGAGTCACGGAAAGGGAGATGAGGGAGGGGGCCAGCGAGGTTCACGGACTCGGCCCCTCTCCGGAGGAGCTAGAGACCTCCAGCTGCGGCCAGAGGTAGTGGCAGGCGGCGGACCCCGGGGGCTGGATTCCTGTGGACAGGGAACTAGCAATAAAATAGGTATTGAGGGCGAGGGAGCGGGTGAAAAGAAACGTTCCTCCTGTGGATGTCGTGGTAGTTCTCTGAGAGCGACGGTGGGGCGGAGGCCTTGGGGCGCGGTCTCTAAATCCCCTTCCCACCTCTGGGCTGTCAGCTTTTGGCCTTCATTTCTTTCTCCTCAGCCTAGAAGAAACACCTGAACATGTGGAATCCCAATGCTGGTAAGTGTTTGGGGTCTTTTCTCCCACCCCAACCCTTTTTCAGATGGGCTCCGGAACAGGAAGTTTGTGTCGGTTTTTCCTCGACTTCTCCAGCCTCACCCGCAAAAGCAAAGTCCTTTGACCATATCTGACCAGTGCTCCTGTCTTTCCTTAGAGCTCACGGTCTCCTTCCCTCACCATCCCTGCCAGAGACCTTACCTTTTCTCTCTCCTACGCAGGCTTGTCTTCCTTACCCTCCTTTCTCCTTCCTCACTGTTCCACTTCCCTTTAAGGACGCGTTGAGTGAGAAGCGGAACCCCCTTTTTTGTTATTGTTGTTTGTTGTCAGAGGCTCTGGGCAGTTCTAATCTTATTTTGTTCTTTGCTTCTTCCACCAGGGCATCCAGGGCCAAGTCCATATCCCCCTCACATCGGAGGTCCCAATCCTGCCCATCCACCCCCTGTCAATCCTGCCTTTCCTCCAGGCCCCCCTCCCCCAGGACCTCTCCCCGGGAATCCAGCTTTCCCCCCATGTGGGCCTGCTCATCCTGTGCCACCGCCAGGGTATCCAGGATGCCCACCTTCAGGTCCCTACCCCCCGCCATGCCCACCGCCTGCCCCTGGCATGCCTCCTGTGAATCCCTTGGCTCCTGGCCTGGTAGGACCAGGAATGGTGATGGACAAGAAGATGCGGAAGAAAATGAAGAAAGCTCATAAAAAGGCGCACAAACACCACAAGCATGGCAAGGTCAGTGCCCTCTGGAACCCGGCTAGAAAGGAGTGCCCCCTCCAAAGGACTAGGCAGGCAGGGGGTGGGCAAGGGGGATTCGCAGTCTGAGGACAGGGGGAGGCGATTGTGTAGATGGTTCTTCCTCTTTGTAAAGATTCCCACTAGGAAGAATCTGATAATCTTGAAAAGAAATGTGAGGCTAATTGGGCCTTCCCTGCCCGAGGGGCTAGGCTGAGCCACAGAATGAATTTCAGAATCAAAAGCCCTTCTTGCTCGCCTGCCTTTCTCTCTCTCCCAGAACTTTTGCTCTGGCACCCCCAGATGCATGTTTTAGCAAGTTGGACACTCCCACTCAGGTGGTCAAAATGTCAATTAATAGGGTCAGTCCATTGACAAACCGAAGGCTTGTATAATGCTTAACAGATAATAATCTGGCCCTAGTTCCTAGAGTTCCTTTCTCTCCTTCGTTGTTCTCAGGGTGTTGTTTTAATTACATGGGTCTTTTGTCCTACTACCCAGCAGGGAAACTGAGGACAGGAGTAGTCAGTGACTCTCAGCCTCAAACAAAACCTGAGTTTCATCCTCATCCCCAAGGCTAAGTATCTTCATTCTAGAGGAGTGTTAATTAGCAAGGGTGACATTAGCTCCCAGGACAACTCTGGAAGGATTGAACCAACCTGGATCTTGAGGCGGCCTTAATTTGTATTTTACTGCCTAGTATTTATTTGCCTTACAGCTTTGGGTGCTAGTTCCTGGTTCTGGATCTTTGGTAGAAGTCTGAGAAGGAAAGATTGAATAGGAGAGAAATTACCCTGGAGAGACTCAAAAATGTTTTTAATGACAGTTGTTGACGGCAGTGTGCATGTAAAGAACCTTGACTAGGATCCTCCCAGCCTTCTCTCCTACCTTCCTCATTTCTTCCAGTTGGGGCATAGAAAAAAGTAAGAGATAGATGCAGACACAGGTGCTGATTCTACTCACTTTTCTTAGATTCAGAGCCACTAGGAACTTTCCGTTCAGCTAATCAATAAACATTTATAAGGTAGCAGCAGCTTCCTAGCACTCTTCTATACTTGTCCTGTAATTTATTCCTTGCCTAGGCACTGGCTCAGGTAAAGAAAGTTGGAAACTTGCTCCAAATGCAGTATGTTAAATTCTGTGGGATGATTTAGGATGGTTTAATCCGTTCCTGTGTGCTCACTGCTGAAGGAAATCCTTGCTTTTGCTGATTAAAGGACAGTGTGGTTCAAGACTCTGTCCTTCTTAGGAAGCGAGCACTTGGGTGGAGGGGTGGAGTGGTCAAAGGTCATTTGGATCTGATGCTATCTCCTTTCCCCTTTCCCCTTGCAGCATTCCTCCTCCTCCTCCTCCTCCAGCAGTGACTCTGACTGAACACAGAGCCTGGACCCTTCCCTCAAGTCTCTCCAGTTCTGCTCTCCCATCAAGCTTCAGATGCCATCTTGTACTGGGGGAAATTAGCCCTCATGTACACCGCCGCGCCCCCCCCCCCCCCCCCCCCAATTTGAGCCTCAATCTGCTGTTAGTCCTAACTGGCTAGGGAAAATGGGCTAGCAAAGGCCATCTTCTCACTACTTGGATAGAACTTGAGCTATTGAAGCTTAAGCTTATTTTGATGAATTTAGCAGAACTATTTTTTGAAGATGATGAGACCTTTGAACTAAAAGCTGAAGACAAGTCTAAGATCTGTAAAATGTGATTTTTTTCCCCTTTCTTTTGTAATACTTGTGGTTGGGGAGGTGTTGTGGAAATTTAATTACAGGGGGAAAAATAAAACTCCTGTACCTTGTTTGCAGTGGTGGCGCACATGGGTGATTTAGTGGCAAATACATTTCCCAGCAGGCCTTTATTGATTGTACTAACCTCAAAGCTGCTGGAAAGTGGGGTCCATTTGGTTGATGAGCTCTGCCATTTTGGAACCTAATCTCTACTCTTTAGCTCATATGCCATCTCAGGTCCTCCTCTCATTCTCCCACTCTCAGTCCAAATAAAGCTGTTTCGCCTCGTCTCTGTTCACTTGTGCCATTACCTTAGTTGAGCCCAGCACATTCTACTACTTCTGCCGCCCTTCCACAGGCCCTTTAAAGTATAGCAGTTTTGTAGTAAGGAACCAGAGCATCAGCGAGGAAGATACCATACTGTCCTTAGGTTTCTTAAGTGGGAGGAACCTTCAGAATTGGTTCAGGTTTAGTGGAATGAATCTTTACTCTCTTTCCTTCAATGAATGGACATAGGTCTTTAGCATAAGTTTTTGTATCTTCTGCAGAGGTTCTCAACCCTGGCTGCCCATCAGCTATCAGAGAGTCATTTAGGGCTTTGCCCCAAATCTTTTTGAATAAGACTCTTCAAGGATGGGGCCCTACAAATCAGTATTTTTAAGAACCTTTATGGGTACTTCTGATGCACAACTGGAACTGAGGGCCACTGGTTTACTATATGCCATGCATGGCACTACACATCAGGTTCTTAAAGATCTGTAGAGTAGAGGGAAAAGACATCTAAGAGAACTAATAAAGATAGATGCTATAAAATGCCAGAGGGATGTAAACCTAGAAATAACTGGGAAGGGAAGGAGCAAACATGACTTTATAGGAAAAGTGACATTTCAACTATTTCTTGGGACTTGAGTGTGAAAAGTACAAGTAGATAAAAAAATAAAAGACTGGATTTACCAAGGGGATGGCAGAGGGGAGCTGGGAAAGGCATGTGTTTGGGTACAGAGACATAAAGCTCCGTAGCATGTTTTGGAACCACAGGGATCCTAATGGGGCTAGATTGATTTCCTGGAAATTATTGAGGAAATACTGTGTTCTGGGTCCTGAAGCTACAAAGATGAACAACACAGTCCCTGCCCTCCATGACCTGCAGGATCTAATGGAGCAGACCAACATGTGAATATGTGAATAGGTTATTATAATAGAGTAAAAAGGATCACAGTAGAGACATGGATCAAGTAGTGGGAGAGCCAAGGAAAGAGTGACAGTGCCACTGGGAAAATGAGCTAGGTCTGGGCTGGGCCTCAGGACGAGGAGGAGTTTCCCAGTTGGTCAACAGTATCAGCAAACACCCAGCTTTTATGTGCCAGGCACTGAGTACTGTAAATTTCTAACTTGTGTCATCTTCCCAGCAACCCTGTGAGATAGGTACAATTATTCCCATTTTGTAGATGAAGAAAACTTGAGTTAGGATTCGAGCTCAGGCAGTGTGGCTCCCGAATCTGTTCTCTTAACCTAATAGATTCCAGGCAGAAGAAGTTTTCCAGAGGTACAGAATTGTAAAAAGGCATAGCGTGAAAGTTCAGGAGTTCCTGAGCCTGATTCCCAGTGCGGGAGCCTGAAGGCAGGAAATGAGGCTAAAGTCGGGGAGATGGAGCTAGAAGAAGGAGTGGACTTGAGAGAGATTTCTGAGGAGCTCACCGGGCTTGGGGATTGAGTGTGAGGCTTGAAGAACAGGGAACGAGTGTTTTCTAGTTGGCTGTATGGATCCATGACTTGTCCCTGGGGCGAGTTACATGAAAAAAATGAAGTCTTCCTATATTTTAGATCTTGCTTCTAATTTTATTAGGAAATCCAAGGCCTGCTTTTCCAGTGTCCTGGATTTGGGGGCCATTCTAATGTTTTTTTTCCAGTCACTCTCTGTTTTCACTTATTCATCAGCTCTTCCTTTTTGAGGAGGAGAAGGAAGATGTGGGTGTGGGGGATGCGACTGGGGGGATGGGGGAGGCTGTGAGGTGAAGAGAAATGGGACATTGACAAAAAAGACAGAAATAAGGAGAGACAATGAGAAGGAGCTGGAGGGGAAAAACACAAAGAAACAAAGAAATTAGGGAGAAAATTCACTGCCCACTTCCTCCCTGTTCCTAACAGGGGAGAGCATACCCCTTCTCGGCATTTCTAAACCATATGCAGAGCACCTTGCTGTGGTTGTGTGAGTGTTGTTTCTCAAAAGTTTACTAACTTTTTAAAAGCTAAAATAATACATATACTTGGAGAAAACTGTAGTATTTTTAATAGGATGTTCAGTGAAAAGTAAGGTTCTCCTCTCATCTCAGATTCCCAGCTTCCTCCCCAAAGGCAACCATGACAACAGATTCTGTTGCAAACTTCCAGAGCTATTCCGTGCATAGTCAAGTCTCCCCCTTTCTATTTCTGCCTCACATTGTTCCTATTGCCCCCCACCCCCACTTTATATCAAATGGGAGCATAGTACAGGCCCTCTTTTGGGCCTAACATTTTCTCATTTAATTATCTATCTTGGAGTTGATTCCATAGCTGTGTGTGTGTGTGTGTGTGTGTGTGTATGGCTTGTTTATCTGACAAATCTTTTATTGCTACAATTTTAGATTCTTTCCAGTCTTGCTGTACACTTAACTGCTGCAGTGAACATTTTGGTACATAGATCTTTGCCAGAGGTTGAAAAATTGGATGCCCATGGCTATATCTGGCTATGAGACTTTTTTTTTTTTGGAGGGACCACTCTCTGCGTTAAATATGAGACATTTTCAATAAAAGTTCAGATTTCAAGCTGGAAACTCTAGCAACAGTGGGCCCACATTTCTAAAGGCAGAGTTATGGCCCTGAGTAGTAGTCATTCCTTATAGATGGGTCTTGTATTCTCCAGTCTTCTCATCACCCTTTCAAACTCCTGTTGCCTTTGTTTAGGCAACTTCTCCCAATTACAGCACTTGCTTGGACCCTGAAAGCATTGGGTTTGTGCCCCCTGTTTTGTGCGTCAGTGTAAGACTCTAAAGATGGTAGTTCTCAAATGTTTTTATCTTATGCCTTCACTACCTGGTGTCCATGAGAGGATCTGGGATTCTGCCATTCTCTTCTTACTAAAAACTAAATATAGCAAGACGTCCATATATCAGGTTGCTTTGTGGCGCTAGGCACGTTCACTCACTTGACCAGCTTGGTTCCCCTTCCCAGAAGAATTCACTGATTCATAACATTATCAGGTATTGCTATTAGATGCACCCCATCTTTCTCTTTCAAAGCTGGCTGCAACTGTTGGCCAGCCCCAATAGAAGCCATGTTATTGTTAGTAGAGGATAATGTTATTTTATCGACTTTTTTTTTTCTTGCTGAGGAAGATTCACCCTGAGCTAACATCTGTTGCCAATCTTCCTCTTTTTTTTTTAAAGGTTGGCACCTGAGCTAACAACTGTTGCCAAATTTTTTTTTTTTTGCTTTTTCTCCCCAAATCCCCTCAGTACATAGTTGTGTATTTTAGTTGTGGGTCCTTCTAGTTGTGGCATGTGGGATGCTGCCTCAGCATGGCCTGACGAGTGGTGCTATGTCCACACCTAGGATCCAAACGAGCAAAACCCTGGGCTGCCGAAGCGGAGTGCATGAATTTAACCACTCAGCGATGGGGCTGGCCCCAATCTTCCTCTTTTTGCGTGAGGAAGATTCACCCTGAGCTAACATCTATGCCAGTCTTCCTCTATTTTGTATCTGGGTTGCTGCCACAGCATGGCTGCTGACGAGTCGTGTAGGTCCGCACCTGGGAACCGGACCCAGGCTGCTGAAGTGGAGTGCACTGAACTTAACCGCTGTGCCACTGGGCTGGCCCCCCATCAACTTTTGATTTGATCTTTGGTTTGCATCCCACATTAGAGATGATTTCAGGGATAGGCACTCACTTTCACTGGAGCTCTCAGAGCCCCTAGGGTATAAATAACCCAAATGCAAAATCTTGAGATTAATCTCACCTTCAGCCCAGGCCGCACAGTAAGCCTACTCCTGAGTTTGCTTTTTTCTGGGTCTTCTAACATTTTCTTACTTTCTTTCCTCTCTTTCAGTATTTGGTCCGCCCCTTGCCTTTGCCAAATGACAGACTTCTTTTTATTTCTTTCTCACATTGTTCCCAATGCCCACCTCTTCATTTTGGGGGTGAGAAGAAAGGCATTGGAGTCCCCAAGCCTTATTTTCTACTTCAGGAAGCTATCCTTCTTCAGATGTCTCCACTCAATTGGGGTTGCCCAGTAAAACTTGACTAATATTCAGGTCAGAACTGACACTCAGGGACTTGTACAAGATTCAATAATAACCCTGTATTTGCTGTCTCTTTCAACTTCCCTCTCCTTATTTTGTCTTATTCCCTTCCAGGGCTCTTCTCTATTTTTTTAAAAAGAGTTTTAATGTGGAGATTTACAGATATACACAAAAGTAGAGAAAGCAGATTAATGAACTCCTATATTCCCATCACCTAGCTTCAGTAGTTATCAATGTTCTGCCGATCTTGTTCCATTCCACATCATATTTTTTCCAATTTTTATCATGAAAATTATTTCTAAGAAGTTTAAAGAACAGTACAATCATTACCCATAAACCTACCACCTAACTCAAAAATTGTTCACATTTTACCATATTCGCTTTATTGATATACCTATATGAACCATATGAAAGTCTGTTGCACACATCATGACCCTTCACCCTTAAATATTTCATCTTGTACCTCTTAAACAGCATTTCTCCTAAATAAGCACAATTCCATTATCACACTTAAGAAAATTAACAATACTTCCTCATATTAGCTAATATTTAGTTCATGTTTGAATTTCCTCAGTTGTCCCCAATATGTCTTATATGGCTATGTTTTTTAAAACCAAGATCCAAACAAGATCCACACATTACATTTGATTGTTGTTGCCTTTTAAATTTCTTCTTCTCCTTATCCTCCCCCTACTCTTCCTTCTTTTCTCTTACATTGCCTTTTTGAAGAGACCAGGCTAGTCGTCTTGTGGAATGTCCCACATTCTGGATTTGCTGATTATCTCCTTGTAGTGTGATGTGTTTAACTTGTTCCTTTATCCTTTATAAATTTCCTGTAAATTGCAAATTAGGTCTAAAGGCTTGATTAGATTAAGATTAAACACTTTTGACAAGAACATTTAATAGATGATGCTATGTACTTCCTAGCATGTCTCATCAAGGACCACATAATGTCAAAATTGTCCTACTATTAGTGTTGCAAAATTTGATCACTTGGGTAAGGGAGTGACTATCAG